CCTCCACCCTGACACAGAGGAACCATAGAGAAAACCTGTACCTCCACTCGAACTTGGAGGACCTGTGCAGTGCTGCTGACTATCCATGATGCTGATCTCATGCTGCTGATTATTTCATGTTGCTGTGTTCATTAGTCCTCATCTGCTCATAGATTCATGTTTGTGCTGCTCTTGTTTTGGCGCATTGTTTTTGTACCATTAGTGTTTAGCGTTTTCTTAGTTTAGTGAATGTAGTATATTCTTAGTTCATGACTTGGATCTTACTAATGGTTTTCTTTACAATTTGTATTTTTGTTGGATGTAACTGGGACCCTGTGTACAGTTTCATTCCACCTCATGTACCACGTGATGTGAATGACAATAAAAATCCTTGTATCAGCTGATCTCGGTTCTGAAGTCGTTTGATTTGCAGAGAACAGGTTTTATTTAATTTTTTTTGGTTATGCTGAGTCACTGTGACTGGATCTTTGGTTCTGCTGAGTCACGATGACGGGACCTCTGGTTCTGATGAGTCCAGGCTACATATCTCTTGCTGTCTTGTCTGTCTGTTAGTAAAATCTCTCTTGAACCAGTGGATGAATTTTACTGAAACTTTCAGGAAATAATCATTAGACAAACTTGTACAACTGATAAACTTTAGGAGTCAACCTGATTCAAGATGGCCGTCCTAGCCAACGCAAACATGGCTGACACTTTCACAAATGTTGAGCTGAAGTTTGATAGCAGCTAAAAGTCGTCTCTGAGGGCTCACAGCTCGTGTTACGACTCATCAATTCAGCCCTGAAGGAAAAATAAAAACACTTTGATGTTTAAAAAATCATTTATTGACACTGTACAAAACATTAATGAGATCCAGAACTTCTGGTACCAAACTGCTGCTGAAGCAGGTCGGGCCGGTTCCTCTGCAGAACGGGTTCAAACCCCACTAGTTGAGCAGAAGCATTTCCGCACACTGAGTGTCAAAGAGTCCTAGTCTGTGCAGAAAGGATTCCGTTAGACTGATGGGGGCAGGCGGTTCGGCTTGGTTCTGGATCTTTGTTTGGTCATGGACTTGACCATCTCCAGCTCCTCCACAGGTTTCCACTGCTGGTTGATGGTGATAAGCTGCAGAAGGTTCACAAAGGACCACAGTAGCTATGTTTACATGCACAAAATTATTTGATCGGATTGAAATCTATTCAGATAAAATAATCCAAATGTATCGTTTACATGGGCACAATCCGTTCATGACGAGCGTTTACATGCAGCGAGCTTTTATTCAGAGTGGAAGTACTGACATGCGCAGAGTGGTACACTTTCCTTAAAAAAACTACAGAAGAAGAAGTTCTACTTCCATGATGAACGTAAACAAACCTGAGTGCCCAAAATGGACCCGCTCAAGGTTTTAATGATGATGGAGACGTACTTCCTGATTAAGCTGCAGGTAACACAGATTATTTTGAGCTCTTTCAAAGTTTCTAGTAGAAATGTTGTCGCTCACCGACCAGTTTTGCTTCCTTGACATGCTAATATTATTAACATCTAGCCAGGCAGAAATATGTGAGGTTGACAGGTTGCACATGCGCAGTGAGGTCAATTTTCCACAATCAGAATAAAATGATCAGATTAAGTGTTTACATGCACACTGAATCAGAATAAAATGATCAGATTAAGTGTTTACATGCACACTGTTCGGATTATAAATCGGCATAAACCACCCCTCTCATTCGGATTACAGATTCATTCGGATCAAGCTGAACCAACAAAGAATAATCCGAATGGGGCGTTTACATGACGCATTTTTATTCCGAATGGCTGATTAATCCGATTACTTATGTCCATGTAAACATAGCTATTGTCTCTTTGGCTGGTTGCAGGCGAGGACATATGGTCCTGTTTCTGTGGGAGGAGGCGTGAGACATCACGTCTCCGTGGGAGGAGGAGTCATGTCTCCGTGGGAGGAGGAGTCATGTCTCACGCCTCCGTGGGAGGGGACACCTAAGATGTAAACAACAGTGACTCGGCAAATTTCAGCAGCTCGATCTGAAAGTGAAAACTCAAAAAAAAAAAAGAGTTGATGTTAGAGCTCACCTTCTGGGGTTTAGTTGGGTCCACTCTCTCCCATGGTTCTGGGTTTGAGGTCTTGTTCAGACTGCAGACAGTAATCAGAGTAGCAAACAGTAATCAGAGTATCCCCAGAGTAAATGAGAACAAATGGCAGTAAACTCACATCACGTCAGATTTGGTGAACAGGAAGTAGAGACCAGCAGTGGTGGCACCTGTTCCTGCCAACACCATGATGCCCACCAGAGGAATGATCTGAAAACAAACATTATCTTGACTTTAATCAACAACAACAACAACAACAACAACAACAACAACAACAACAACAACA